TCCAACCTAAACAGTGTCAGCGCTCCGCCTGACAGTGGTGGTCCACAGGGGCTGTCTACAGGAGCCTTGGAAGGACACAACCCACTTTCCTTGGGTGTTTTTAAAATTAGAGAGTGAGTGTCTCCGCTGCGAATCGGCCGAGCTTGAGACTAAATCTGACAGAATCGGCACGTGCTGGGTCACAGCAGACATGTGCGTCTCAAAATAGAGACTCAGAGAACCGGAGCGGAGAGAAAGAAAGAGCGAAGGAGCAGGCATGAACATGCACTTGTGCACGACCCCATCCGCACACACACAGTGACTGAGTCGCCTGAGTGTTGTGCCCAGAGGCGATAAGGAATACGTTTGTAAACAGGCTATAATGCCGAGGCCAGTCCCGCTGTAACATGGACAGCCTAATACATACTAAACTGACTACAGAGCTAGGACAGAGATCAGACTGGAAAATACTGAACTAGAGACTTTGACATCATTCTGTAACTTTCAGCTGGCCTGCTTAGAGACCAGAAAGTAAGTTTCTGGGCAGTCAGTATAATGTATTTTTAGAGCCCTGAGACTTTTCTCAGTATAGGTTTTTAAATATCACACAGCCAAAGAATGACTGATACAACATCTAAGAGGTTTCTAGCCAATTACGGATGTATTCAATGATGAAAACTATAAGGAACGACCCAAATTAAGTGTATTCATGTTTTCCGAGTGTCAGAAATGATGTCATGCATCCGTTAAGTTTTTGGGAAATTCTGTTGTCTGGTGACGTGGGAACATCTTTCTGCAACAGGACACAAGTACCAACTTGTCACTTTTGGATTTAACACTCCTGGAGTGTGGCAGTTGAGAAACACTGCACAGCCTGCAAGAATAACCAGCTAGTGATGGTTTTATGACCATTAAGCACAGCTGTGTGTAGCCCATATGGCGTTATACAGGGTGCGGACACAATAAAAGCAGCACCTGTACAATGTAACAGTATAATAGCCCATTCATCCGTCCATTCAATGTCCCGCTGCCTGTTCGTGCCTGAGTCGTGTTGGCTACGGAAAGTTGCCTATATTACCTTCTCTGTAGCCACTTCCTCCAGCTTCTCCTGGGATGTTCACAGGCCAGATGGGACATATAATCCCTTTGGCATGTTCTGGGTTTAATTTGCCAGACTTGCCAGAATAGGCTCATTCGAGATGAGCCAGACCTGTGTAGAATCGATCACCGGTGCCACTGTCCGACTGGTAACTTTTTGTCCACACCCGCTGCTGTTACTGCCTGATCTCGTTCCACTTTACAGGCAAGGCGCAGTTTATCTCGACAAAATGTCCAAAGTGGCAGAACGTCATTCTGGTGTGCTCTGGCAGCACCTATGCCCAAGACTCCGAGATATTAGACCTGCTTCACCTGGTGCAGCTACTCTCAAAGAGTAAACTTGGCAATCATTGAAATATCCCTACAATATGCTATAGAGAGAATCTGGTTCAACTCAATAGACATTTTGAAGCCATATTTTGTAATATTGTACTAGATTACATTCTTTAGGTACACCCTACATACATTTTTCCATTTTGGGTAAGAAATATTCCAGATACTTGATCAGATTTCAGGCTGTTAAAAGTTCCTCTGCATACAGGAAATACAGCGCAGCGGTTCTTTAATAGGCCTTGTTCACAGCAGACAAAGCAGGAAAAGCACAGGTGGAACTCATAACATGAAGGATGGCTCTGTTCCATTAAACTGTCCCAGTAGTAGTGAGCCAGTAAACACAATACCATGGCACTGGAACTGACATACCTGAATGGAATGCACCTGTGTGTTTCCTGCAATGACACGCCAAAACGCTCCTCTGTACCTGTCTAAGAGCCAATTTGGGATCCAAATGCTATACTTCTCCAAATGTAATAAAGAACAAAACTCTTATATGGGCCAGAAGATACTGTTGCGAGTCCCTTGGGAGGCAAAAACCTAAACCCAATGGCTACTATCAAAAATACCTATAGCGGTGCAGGTTCTTGAGGGGAGATTTCACATAACAGAACATGGGAGAGTGTCATTGTTTTCATGTCCATCAGACAAATAAATCTACTGTTAACCTCTTAAGATCCACCTAACCCAAACACACCTGTAAACTCAAATAACCACATTTAGTAAAATGCTGTGGGAAATATATTGAAATGGAGGTGTACAGTGGAGGTGAACGGTGTAACACCATTTGGGAATTAAGTCTTCTGAGGTTACACACTGTGGTTTTCCTGAGATAAAATATGTGATGAACTGTGATGATTTACATAATCTGCCGTACCATTTTAAAGACTTTACTCCTCTTCTGTGAGCAAGGCTTGAGATTAAAATCTTGAAATCCTTTCAAGGAACAGAAGGTATTGAAGAAAACAAAAGTTTCCAAAAATCACATATTTCTGGAGCTGCTTGGAAACCACAATCCTTGAACTTTAACCATCACAGATCAAGTATCATTCAGGGCACTAAAGCTAGAAATTAGTGTTTGTAGTTTGAGAGAACTGAAATTCTAAATGAGGAATTACAGTTAACCACCAATTGCCACATGCAGGCACTTTCTGACTGCGGCTGGTGTGAGTTTCGTCAGCTTCTCTGTCACGTTGACGACCGCAGTTTGTTCTTTCCTATGTTACAGATCACTGTGAGCGGTGACCCAGTGACAGTAACAGGGAGAAGTTGTGAGCCTTTATTCTGAGCATTTATTTGATTATTTATTAAGTGAGAGGGACTTGGGTGATTAAGTAGATGGAAAGGAAAAAGGGGTAAGGTACTCTTGATATACATGGATCATTAAATAGTGTGTGTGAGTGAATGTGTGTGCTCGGTGTGTATTAACACATCTGGTTAATCCAGCAGATTAACTAGACCAAAGCCTTCCTTCACTCACTCTCTTCTGCAAGGTCAGTAGGCAAGGCGGTCAATCCTAAGCCTGTCAGACCGTCTTATCTGGACACACACACACACACACACACACACACACACACACACACCCCTCACGAGCTTAGAGAAGTACAACAACAACAGGACAGACAGCAGGACAGACAGACAAACAGTCTTACAATCACATGCGGATAAGAGAGGAAGATAAACAGATACTGACTTAGTAGGCAGACTACTACTGGACTGTAAAAGAGATTCACGCTCATCCAGCAACTCACTGGCTGCTTCATTTACAGGCACTGACTGACTGAATGAGGACCCTGTTGTGCCTATTAAAAGTTATATATGAGAATTTGAACATTAATATAGCAGCTATGTAAAATGGTGGAGTCATGGCAGACTGCCTGTGTTGCTATCACAGCCTCTGTGCAGTTTCTTTCCATAGCCAATCTGCTCTGTGTGCAGCTGAGTCGACTGACTGAAACTGCTGGTTTAATCATCTACTATTAAAGTGAATTAAGGATTTATTTTGACCACAGCAAAGTTGGTGATTGTTGGAACAGTGGAAAGTTTTATTTTGTTTCTGTTCCCTTTGAATGTAGTTATGTGACAATGATAAAGGTAAAATTACCATTTTGTCTATGGAGTCTGGTGGTGAGAGATAAACAGACGATATTACAGCTGTTTCTGGTTAACAAAAGGAAAGACTGCTTTGGAGCAGTCTTATTTGATTTTTGTCTCCATTGATTTGGTCTGAGATGCAGATGCTCTAGCGCGAAGTGAATTTTGAGTATATAACCTTTAAGTAACTAGACTAAAGGCATATTCACATTAGAGAAACAAATAAAGCGTGTGGCTGTGCGTTGGTTGTGGCAGTATTTGCTCCTTTGAAACTCCAATACATTAGCTACAGTGCTAGCAGATAATCTGATGAAAAAATAAGTAAATGAGATTAGGAATCTGACCAGACATTCATTCATGCCAGTTTATGGTACTTTGGCAGTTTGACACTCAGTGCTATGGACACATTTTGGATAGATTTCTGAGAACACGTGCTTGGTGGTGGTCTTACTTTGATCCAAATGTGTCAGAGGAAAAGACACCCTGATAAGAACTTCAATCTTAATCAAACCCTAAATGCTGATTGAATCAGCATGATTATTGAAAGCCAGTGAAACTTCAAAAGAATTTGCATTAGTTTAACTTCAATGCAATGTCCCACATGCAACTCACAACTCTGCTTGCAGGGTCAGACTCATACAAAGCTTCTGATGTGCTCTCCTCCTGAGTTGCTTCAGAGAAGCAAAGGCAGCAGGGCTGTTAAGCACTGGCCTTGTTACACATTAGAAGCAGCATGAAGCAGGCATCGCTTCCCCTCTCCTCCCAGCTCCCTTCACTTCTGATCTGACTCTGGGCTCTGTTCAGCTCCCTGCACTGGCGCTGGATCTCGCTAATCTTTCCAGGAGTTTCTATTCAATCTGCCAGCTGGACAAAGGGGCAGGAAGCAGCTTTTTCCCCCTCAGAGAGAGTCGGATGGAGAGGGAAAAGACAGAGAGCTGGACAGAGGGGAGGAAGAAAAGCGAGTCTAAAGAAAAAAACAAACACCAGAGGAGCAGTTTCTGGTGGCGCAGGGAGTGACCGACAGACAGCCGAACAACCAGAGCTGCTTCCTGGTGAAAGAGCTCCACATGGGCACGACAAGCACCTACAGTGTGGTCACAATACTGTCAGTCTGACTTCCATACCGCTGACAGGTTTAATATAAAACCTAAAACAACACCACAGCATACCACATCAGAGCAAGCACACACCACAGCCCGTGGTATAGTTCATCATGTTCTCAGTTCCAGATGGAAGGCTAACGCAGTCAAATGAATCGGCTTCGAGCAAAAAACAGTAGAAGCTGGCTCAACTTCTGCTGAAATGTGATGCATGATGAAGAACTGGAAAAACTATCTCCGGATATAATTAGGGCTGTGTATTGGGAAGAATCTGGTGATGAGATATGTATCACAATACAGGGGTTAGGAGTAGATATATTGTGATACTGTAAACAAAGGAATATACTACAATTTAAAATTTTTTTCTAATTTTAGGAAAACTGTTAAAACGGTAAAATCCTAATAAAATAAAATCTGAAACTTCACTACCAGATGCCACTAAATGTTACATAATGTACTTTTAACTTTTGCTCAGACTCTGAGATCAGCATTTCAAATGATTTATGTTAAGTTGAAGCTCATTTGGAAAGCTTTAGGAGCTTTGCCTGATATGTGTTTTTTTTTGCCAGACTCAGCTGTTGGCAAATCTCCGCCACTGGGCCGGCGCCACACGGCAACCTCCGTGGTTGGTGCTGTCCCAGTAGGTTTTTGGATTAGCTGGAAGACGATGGCGTCACGACTTCCAAGATGGCCACAGCACATTGAGCTTCAGAAACCGATAGGTGAGGTCGTCCATTTTTAATCATACAGTCTATGGGCGGTGTGTGCAGTTAGCATGACAGTCCCATAGTAGCCCCAATAATGAGAATGAGACCCAGGTAGAAAAATGATGTAATTTTCCTTTAAACTGACAGACTGGGTAAGATGGCAAAAAGTATTTACCAAAAGGTCAGTGTCGCTTTAATTTTTAACAACCATTCTTTTGATTATTCCACATATTATTTGATAACGCATATTTTTGCTTGTAGGATACGGAACTATAAGCTAAATATGATTTCAGTCTTTTGCAACAGTATCTAGCAGAAAGAGTTACATTAACACGGTTACCCGCATACAGCCTGCCGCAGTCAAAATCACAAGTACAGCTGGATGCCATTACAATCTGTTAATCTGAAACGTCTCGCCATGAGACACATTAGAGCTCATATTTCAGCCAGTCTGACCCTTGTTATCTCTCGCTCTCTCTCTCACACACACATACTTTGACTATTCATTTTGTAATACAGACTCTACCCAGTGGTGGTGGGAACAGAATATAATAATATAATATATTTTTATTCTTACCTGCAGGCATTAGCCCAATCATCTCATTCTGCACCATCTGTCTGTTCCAAAACTATAACGGAACAACACTGGGCCTCTGAGTGGAGCCGGGCTTTCACACTTCAATACAGTGCCAAGTACAGCAGTGCTGAATCCAGCCTTCAGTCTTCACTTTGAGTCTGCCTTAAAGCTGCAAGTCCAGCTGGCTGCTTCTCCAATCAATACAATGATCAGCTCTTCTGGTACTTTCTCTGTCACCTCTCCACTACATTGGTTTGCTATCATGCTCATGATCCTATTTATGAAGCACCTCATTTTGGTTGATTCTTTGTTTTATGATGCAAAAATGGGAGTTTATTCCACTGTTTTCCAAAGATACACAGGCTAAGAGTCTTATTGTAAAGGCCTAACATGACATTTCACTAAAGTTCACATTATTTCCACAAGGTGCTCTGACCAGGAAGGATGATGTATATATTGCTAAAGCTGCAACCAGCCAACTTCACACATACAGTGGAAGCTCTCCAAGTTTTATTGGACTCATTAATCTTTTACCGTCTTGCTGCTGTTGCTTCCAAGACAGTTTGGATTATACTTAAGTTTCAATTGGTCATTTCCTGTCTGTGCATACTGTGCAGCATTTCCACAGCTTTTTCATCAAACACAACCTTTCTGAACCCAGCTCACTCATCATTCTCAACCTCAGGAGTCAGGTTGTCTAAATCAAGTTGCGTTCTTAAGACTTGCCAACCATCACAAGGTTTATGAAGTAATATTTTTAGATCAGGCCAGGTCTCATTTGCATTTAAAACATATTTTGAATAAGCGGTGTAAGCTTATTGTCCTGTGACAGAGCTTGCTCGGAGAGCTTCTTTACCCCCTTCAATAACTCTTTACAAGTCAGCTGCAGTTGTTTTACTGGCTTGGAGTAGTCTTTACGTATCCTGGCTTGGGGTTAAGATGTCCTGAAAAATTCGGGACAGTCCGGAATTACAAGCTCGATGTGAGTTGAGACTGGAAGGCAAAAATGTTGAGGAGAGCTGACTTGGTGACTCAATTATAATAAAAAAAATACTGCACTTAACGTATTGTTTATTTTGAGCCCTGCCAAATTATCAGGAATAATATATAACAGATAGAGATACGAGCAGCTGCTGTCACCAGAAGAAAAGACTGAATTTGAATGAGAGAACCCTTCCATTAAATTAAACCATATGACAGAGAGAGCAGCCACCACTGTGGGAGGAATCTGTGATAGAAATTAGGGCTGCATAATAAATCCAACATGAAGTACTGTAGGACTGCCTTGGCCTACAATTTGTCTGTTACAGACCACAACAAATGACACATAATTATGGTAATAGTTTAAGTGATGGAAAATGTGTAATATTTGTCAAAATAATCGCAGTATGATGTTTTCATCATATCGGACTGCACCCTTATAGAAATATCTAAAGAATGTTTGTAAGCTAAGGCTTAGGATACTGCTTCATCCTTCATACCATCCTCAGTCAGAATAAGGGGCCATTTGACTATGCCCAACTCATCTGTCCCAAATTTCACCCATTCACATCTTTAAATCTTTACTCTTTTTTGGAGATTGAGCCACAATTTGAGTTTCATAACGTCTGTTTCATCTAGGGCTGGGTGATATGGCTTAAAAATAAAATCTCTGATTTTTTCACACCAAATCCGATTTACGATTTTAATCGATTTTTTTTATCCTTCTTAAAAACACACAACAAATGACAAAGAAATTATTCAAAACAAGTTTTGCTTTTATTTTGTTTTGATTTTCCCTGGGAATTTGACGGGATTTGAACAATATTTCCCCTTGGGGCTAAAGTGCAAAAAAACCGCAAGTCTTGAAACAAGCTTGTAAACAAGTTGTTGTTGATAAAATGTACAGTCAAACTCATGAAGGGCTGCATGGTTCGGCCAGACCATAGGTCTGTTGTGGTGGAGTAAAAACACACCTCCTCCAGCTCTCTAGTGATCCTTTCCCCTGTGCAGTTGTACAGGTGAGGCAAGGCAACTCCGGCAAAGTACTTGCAGCTTGGTAGCACATACCTGGGGTCGAAGGTTTTCAGCATGTAGATAAACCCCGGCTTTTCCACTGTGTAAATGGGAACCATATCTTTAGCAATATGCAATGCGACTGCATCAGTAATAGCTTTCCACCGGGTCCCTTTCTTATCCAACGGGACACAATGTGAAAATGAATCCACTAATGTAGACTGTTTTTTAGCGGGTGTTTGTGGGCTGCGGTCCTGTATATCTCGCACAGAGCAACATTTCTCCCACTCAGCTGCATGCCTCTGCTTGAGGTGCTGGAATAAATTGGTTGTACTGCTACCTTTGGTTGCAACAGCTTTCAAACAAACTTTGCAGTGGGTCGTGGTTTGTTTGCTGTCGGACGCCACAAAACCAAACCAGTACAAAACAACCGACGACACTGTGCCTTTTTTGGGGACGAGCTCATCCTGGCTTGCTGCCATGTTGTGTGCATCTGTGGAGAGGTGGGGGGAGGGGTCAGCGCACTCTGACCTGCGGGAGCCCAAAGGGAGCGCCGGTGTTGTGGAAGTTCAAGAGAAAACCGATTTTAACTCAAAATAAATTGTGTTAATCGATAAAATCGATTTATCGCCCAGCCCTAGTTTCATCTTGTCAATACCTCCTTCATTACACAAGAAACAGTCAGTAGCTAATATATTTGGTCGCAGCTTTCATTCATCGTAGCTTTGGAAAGCATTTGGTGGTGGGACAGTGCTGAGAACCCTCCCTCTGATGCTGTCCTCTGTGTGCACTGCTGTGCTCCTCACATTGCTTATGTGTGAAATTTGGATGGGCTGGGGTATGCAGGGCAGGGAGCCAAGGAAGCTGGGAAGAGAGACAGAGGGGCCCATATGTGAGAGGGCCTGAAACAGGATCTAGTCGATTGTGGATCTCTCCGGTTCTCTCCCAAGCCTTCACCCGGCTGTCTTTGTCTCCCCCCCGCTACTCTTCCACAGTGGCTGTTTACTAAACAGGAAGCTCAAACCCCAGGCTGCAATAATAAAAGGTTGGACGCCTCTTTGTGTTAATGTCTTTCTCCTTTCACTGAGCTGACTGGGGTCACCACAAGATACACTGAGTTACATTTATGACCTTTTAAAATATTTTATGGTAGCTGGAACAGAGACCCAGTGTAAAACCCAGCCAAATCCGGAATGTTTCTGAAAGAGCAGAAATTATTAAAGACAGAAGGAGAAGCCCAATAGGAAATGAGGTCAAAAATATCTTATATTGGACAGTATAGTGATTTTTGTCGTTGAATATGTAGTATCCCAAGTTAATATTTTACTTTTTGTTAATATTACAACTGCACTGTGCACACTTCACACATTAGACACAGTGTGAAGATCAAATTTAATCTATCTGACAGCTGAACAGCTCTGCAGGACGTCCAAAGTCCAATCCATATGTGTCCATTACTCATTACAGGCCTCATTCACACAGAGCACGGTTCAATATGTTGAAGTGAAACCGGAGCCTCTGGGTTTTATTACAGAAGTAAGAAAGACCTCATTCAAAATCCCACTGACATCATAATAGCGCGAATAACTAAAAAGCCAGCCTTGGAGTCTTTCTCAACAGCATGTTGTGTAGCCGCTTCATACCTTTCCAATATTAGACCTGCAACAAGGTCCACAACCCAAAGATATCCAGTATACTGCCATAGAGGACTAACGAAACCAGATAATATTCACATTAAAGAAGCTGAAATCTGAATTATAAATCTATAAAAAAAAGGAAAAAAAAGTTGCAGATGAATTTAATAGTTGGCCACTTATTAAATCGGCTAACTGCTGCAGCGTTGTTTTCTAGCAGCCTTTAAAGAACACCATTTCCCATAAGCCCTAGACCTTTACAGGCTCAATGTCACAATTTGACAACAGAGGCGTGGGTGAGTCGAGGGACCGCGCCTGTCTGTAATAACAGCAGCACAGACATGAACATTGTAGAGGTTTTTAGACAGCGGAGATTACAGCTAAGAAGTTGAAAAAACATGGGAAGTGAACCAAACCACAATGACGAAAGTACCAGTCTCGCTATTACTGCTTTATTTTTTTAATTTAATTGAATATTTTTAAAATGGGAGTGGTAGTTTTTTGGTGCTCAATTGTTACCAACATTGTTAAAATCACCAAGGTTTCAATTTCTTATAGCAATTGCAGTAATGGATGCTCTTAAATATGGAAAGTAAACCTAAGGTCTTTTTTTCAGAAAGACCGATGAAAGAAATGCTGAATGAAAGACTGCACTGAGTAACACAAACTAGAGGAACAGAGGTGTAACATCAGGACTTCAGCTTCCTATACACCACCCCTTATGTGTGTTTGTGTGTGTGTGTCCATATAGACAGCCAAACCCATGGTTCCTCCACCCCTCTGTCCACTTCCCTCCCTCTGTAATGCCACATTTCGTAACCAAGTTTATTCATACTTGAACCAACATCCTGCAGCGCACTTTCCAAATCAAATCATCCAAAACACACAGATGTGTTATTGTGCGTCCTGGGGTTACCCAGAAAACTCCCCCTGGGAAAAAAAACTGTGGGAATCCGAACAACGCTGCAGATGTTCTCAAAGCCGGGATACACACACACACACACACACACACACACACACACACACACACACACACACACACACACACACACAAACACAAACACAAACACACACACACACACACACAGCTTTTTAAATTGTCAACTCGTCGACCTGAGCGCTCTGGATGCCACACATGCCTTACTTCCTTTCAACCTGCGCTGATGACACACATTCACACAAAAATGAAAACACACAGTGGACGAACATAGATAGGCAGGTGTGCACATGGGGGGACCTGGCTATGGCGCACACACACAGTAACAGAGACCGAAGCAAAAGCACACTCACATCCTCACTCATGGGTCGGATGTTTCCAACTTACCTACAACCATTAACGTGAACTCAAACCCTCTTTTCACCGACTTCCGATACACCTGGTTGGGGAGATTGGCGAAGCCCACATAGCCCTCCAGGTTCCGCTGCTGAAGGAAAAACACACAAACACACACACACACACAAACACACAAACACACCTTCTGTTAATGCATGAATCACACAGCATGAATAAAGCACAAAATGAATACAGGCCCGTTACGGCAAAAACAGCTTTCTGGCTAAAGATGAGCCCTTATCAGCAGACAGATGCATGCGTGCATGTTACTATGGTATTTCGCAAGTGTGTGTAAACAAGTCGTGAACCTGCAATTAGTATTTCTGTGTCCTGCAGCGACAGAGCCCCTTTGAAGTGAAGTGCAGCTGGGATAAATACAAGAGGGGAAAGGGGCTGTTTTAAGGGGAAGAGAGGTAAGGGGAGGAGAGACTCACAGAGAGAGAAATATCAGGCTTTCCCTGAGGAGGGAAGGAAGAGGAAGTGGAGTCAACCCTGCCAAAGTCCATCAAACTAGTCAACTAAAAATCTAAGCCAGTGAATGAAGCCAATCACATCTGCTTCAGAAATGTAAAACTAAGTGGATGAAGGTAAGTAACCACAAACAAACAAAGACAACTCCCTACGTGTTGAATCATGTCCATCCTGTCCCCGACTCAGGATAGGTTGTGGTGAAGGGTCTCAGACCAGATCCCGGCCAGGCCAGGCTCTCCAGCTGCTCCCTCTCTTTACTGCTGAGGTTATCTCTTCATCCCTTCCTCCCTTCCCCATCTCCCAGCACGCTGTCAGATAACACCCCCCTCCAATCACTGTGTCCTGCACGCTACGTGAGGCAAACACAATTGATTGCCGGCCAGCCTGTGAGCGGCCTCTCGGGCTCTGTCATGCATGGCGCCGATGGAAAAGTGCAGCTCAGCTCTGATAGGTCTGCTGAAAGAGCAGGTTTAAAAGGCACCTGCAGCGAACGGGTTCACACACCCTCTAACTCGGAACAAAGCTGATTCCTTAATGTAGGCCTATCAGTGTCTAATGTTAGCATGTTAGAGTTATCGTAAGGTGTATTCCTCCTAGCTGCATGGGAGTTTGTGGATGTGAAAGACTGATTGTGAGCTCTGACACTGAGGTGATTCCTAAATGTTTGCAATAATAACTGCTAATGCTAATTATCATTAGTAAAGAACAGTGGACAAAAACATTCAGGTAGCCGTGTCTCATGTAAAGGTTGTGCGGAAGGTTCCACTGACCGCAGTCAGCTGTCACTAATTGTGTGAATAAGTTGAAATATGAATGAAGGGTCCATTGTGGAGCTTCGTAACAGCCGTGCTTTATCAAGGACCAGTGTGTAGGATTTAGCGGCATCTAGCGGTGAAGTTGCAGATTACAACTAACTGAACACCCTCTGACAACCTGGGAAAGTGTGTAGGAGAAACTATGGTAAATGGACTGTACTTATATAGCACCTTTCTATGCTGGCCACATAGCTCGCACAAAGTGCTAAAAGGTCCTATCTAGAGCCAGTGTTTGGTTTGTCTGTTCTGGGTTCCTGTAGAAAAAAAAAAAGGGTGGACACCATGCAAGGACACCGGCAGCACCTGTAGATAAAAGTGGCTCAGTCTAAGGTAACTAGGGCTGCAGCTATCGAATATTTTGGTAATCGAGTATTCTACAGAATATTCCATCGATTCATCGAGTAATCGGATAAAACATAATT